CCTCAAAGTGCACAAGCGTCCAACTTGAAGCGTTGGATGCGATTTTGAAGCTGAAATCGCGATCGGTGTGAACGCASCATTACTCCCTCGGTCTCCACTCACCGCCATGTAGGGCTTGCAGCCTGCGTCCATCGTTTTGGCCACAGAATCCACCAGGTGGCCACTGATGCCAAAGTCACACATTTTCACTTGGCCCTCAGTGTTGATCAGGACGTTGGATGGCTTCACATCTAGAAGCAGATGTGAACGGGTAACGTCAAGAGTGCTTGTCGAATACAGAAACAAACACCATCTCTGGCAATCTGGAATATTACACTGTAATAATTWGATTTTCTGATTACCTCTGTGTATCACCGACAGGTTGTGGTGCAGATGCTCTARTGCCTTGACAATCTGAGGAATAAATGAAAAAGAAAAAGTAGAATGATAATGTTCTCCGTTAGCTGTTAAATTAGATCTAAAGACAAACAACTGACATGCACTTGTATTAAAATACCAACTAAATATAGTGTAAGACATTTTAGAAAAAAACTGTTTATAAACTTTAAAAACATGACATGCATCTTYCACTACTTGCTTCAATATAGTAAAATTTGCAAAATGGGACATACTGCTACTGTGATCTTGCCCAAGATGTCCTCGGGAATGGTTTTGCCTTTTTCGATAACCTTCTTGTAGAACTTATCCAGAGACGTGTCCATCAGTTCCATACAGATCCAAACATCACCCTGAAAGAAAAAATCAAATTATATAAAAAACAAAAAAAACAAAACAAAGACAATAAAAAATTAATCATTAATCAAATGAGTCATCATAGAGGCACATACGATTACTTCCTCAAAGTCCCATTAAAATCTGTCCAGTGGTTCATGAAGTATTTTGGTACCAGACACAGTTTGCACATAAACACAAAAACTATCTTCCACTTTTCAACAAAAAAAATCAACAGAATAAGGCCATAGCAGTACAAGATTATGAGATTCATAGGCTGGATTTACCTCTCTGAAAAGGGCACCGTAGAAGGTCACAGTGTAGAAGCAGTCAACTGTCCTCATGGAAATGTCCAGGTCCATTAGAAGCCTCTTCTGCTCCAGAGTGTTAACTGTAGCACGAATCCGCTGGAGACACAAGCATCGCACAACGGCTGTCAGTTTCCAAACCTCTGTCRGTAATCTGGATCACTTGATCCAAACCCGTGATTGTAATGGATAAACCCAGGGTTTTATTTTAAAAGCACAATACAAAAATCAGAAAAATCAAAGAGACAGTTTGCCRTTCTACCTTCACGGCCATGATGACACCACTGGGCACATGTCTCATTTTGTCCACCACCCCATAGGCCCCCCTCCCGAGCTCTTCAATCTGCTCCAAGTCATCAGCCTCAACTACAAAGTTCTGAACAGGAAAAAAAATTCAAGAGTTCAATAAAAGCACATGAAAAAATAAAAATTAAATAAAAAACGCAAAAGTGAATAAAAGAACACAACTTTACCCGATCTCCAATGGTGACACAGGCTTTAGAGTCAAGGTCTCGAGGAGGCCTACAGACAGAAAACAAAATGTAAAAACAATCAGAACAGATCACACAGTACTGTTAAATGTAAATATGTTTAACTTTAATTAACAACTGCCTGCCTTAACACTACTTTTTGTACACTCCAGTTATAAATAAAATTAAACCATGTTGAATTGGAAGATTTCAATCTTCTGCCGTTATTATCCTAACTTGAAACTGAGCCGAATCGTTTCTGCTGGTCTGGGTCAGCCACCTTTCAGATGAGGACTTCAAAGAGGTTAATATCTTTTCAGCAGAATCTCAGTTATTTGCACGTATCTTTTTCTCAGTGATAAGCCACAGCTTTGAATTCTCAAGACTGCAGTGTAGCTACCATCTATTAGGCAATCTATATGCTGGAAATGCAAATTCAAAATAAAAATCTGACAGGAATTAAGCAGCCAACAGGAATGTGTTATAATGCAGTGTTGTTGTTGCTTAATCCAAATAGAAATAGATCCAGAACATTTAATGTATTGAGAATTTGGTGAGCCTGTTGGTGTTTCACCATGTATAACCCGCGACAGAAAAAAAAAAAAAGTCTTACGCTGTAGCTTCCGGTGGTGGAGGTGTAATCAGGTTTATGGGCAGCTTCGGCCCAGGGGTCTTCTTCCTCCCTACAAGACAATAAACAAAAAGAAATACATTCAGTTATTACAGATTTGATTTCTGAACTCTTCGATGAATCAAAATGGTCAAAAACAAAAAGCTGTAGTAAGCAGTTACAACACACCAGTTTGGTCTATTTCTCAAGACCCACACTTTGATTTTCCTTTCTTTTTAAACAAATCCAAGCAAAGCATAAAGAGACACCTTGCTGTCAACTACATTAACGGAGAGGCTAAATTAAAGTTGACTTAATTAAACAGGATGTTTTTGTATTTTCTTCTTAGTTCCATTTTTGGAGACACAGTCAGTCTGCTGTTGCAGATGACAAACTGCAGTGCACTAAATGCTTTGTTTTTTTAAACCGGAGCTTAGGTGTGACCAAGGCTAAAGCTGAGGAGGTGGACTTAAATGACTGTTGGCTCTGGTATGATGACTCACATGAAGTAGCTGAAAAGAATCCCGCCTTACATATACATATTTTTTTCTTCTTTTCAAGTAAAAGTTATATTAATCTGATTTTAATCTTTGAACCCTCACATTTGAGATTGTTACAACTTTTACACATTCTTCTTTACAATAGGTTGAGCGTTGCACTGTGATGCCGTGCAGCTGTGGGCCCCTCCTGTGTTAGATTGATAGCAGTTCATTCATAAACACCATTTACCAGCAGCCGCTGGGACTTCCCAAAAAGCACTCAGAATATCTGCCAGAATGACACACTGAGCCTGTGAACAGCAATGCAGGAAAACAGTTTTTTTAAACACTGACACTCACGTTAAATGTGCTCATTACCAAGTACTACAAGTACTAAGTGGCCAAAAGGGAAAAAAAAAAAACTAACTCTTGCTACATTAACTCCACCCCCACAAGGATATATTAAAGGCAATTTGATCTGGATTGAGTGGTTTCATCCAAGACTGATCCGACTGTGCAATAACTCTGAAACTGCTTTATATGAAGCAAAGGCGACCACGGTAATTGCCATTGTTACTGTGCAGCTGTGTTTGTCATTGAGTCACACCACTGCACTGTGAAGGAAGTATGATTGGGCAAACCCATTTTTGCTAGAATACGCTGGAAGGGAAGTCAACGTAAAAAAGAAGGGGGAAAAAAAAGATGCCAGAAACAGTAGCCCACCAGACACATTCATTTTGTGTTGGAAGACTAAAATAAGCCGATGGTGTGGGGACGGGCTACGGTAGTGGTAGGGAGAGATTGAATGTGATTTACTCACACATACCTAGTCAAAAATAGATTTTACATTTCCTCTGTGTGGGTTTAAGCAAGAGCATTCGACAGGCTCCTGTCGACCTGGTCGTGCAGCAAAATTAGGACAGCATGCAAACTTGGCATTGCACATAAACATCTGACATCCCAAAACTGTTTTAAAGGAGACCAATTATGGGTCCTAGAAATTTTTATGGTATGTCTGTGGGCTATCCAGACCATGTTCATTCAATTTAATGCACAAAATAATTCTCAGATRATAAAATTTCTCAWTTTCTAGTTCTGCCTGCTCTGACTTCCGTTCAGAAGAGCTGTTTATGTTAATGAGCTCTGTTGGTAACGCCCTCCAAAAATCTGTTGACATTTACTCCGCCCTCCTAAGCCAGCGTTTACGTTAGCATGGCTAATAATAGCAGAAGCTCCGTTGTACGACCATATGAGACCCAGAGGCAGAGTCGTGGTCSCAGCTTCTTCTTTTTTTCTCCCCCTCCTCTGCTCTGCGCTCTGTTTCCAGAGCAGGGAGCAGCAGCGGTCAAAATACCTCAGAAACTTGAACAAATAGGCTTTAACAAGGCTTTAATAAGATAAACAATAGAGGTACATGAGAAAAAGTGTTCATAACGAATGAAAATAAATTCTATAGTGTCCATGCTGGTCTCAAACCCTAGTCACCCACTCTTTGGTCTAACACTCTACCMATTGCCCTATTGGAAAGCTTGTTGTGATATGAGCTGCGCATTGCACAACAACTACGACGGCTTTTTATTAGGGCTGTGTATTGGCAAGAATTTGGCGATAAGATACATATCATAACAGAGGGGTCACGATACGATATATCCCAATATATTGCGATACTGTAAGCAAGGCAGTATATTGTGATATATTGTGATTTTTTTGTCCAAAAATTCTATTAAATAAAAACCTCTTATTGAAAAAAAAACGAAAAGAAAAGCTAATGTTTACTTACAATGCTAATGCTACCCTTACTCTCTGGCGCTCAAGAGGTAGAGGAGCCAAATGGCTGGCTCACTGCTGCCAACTAGTGGTCAGAGGCTGAACTACAACATAAAAATGAATGGCTGGCAAGAAGGTTGATATTTTAAACCTTAATTAAAAATCGATACAGGGCTTTAGAATATCGATACAGTATCGGGAAATGAAATATCGCGATATTTCAGTGTATCGATATTTTCTTTCACCCCTACTATTTTTACTGAGGAGGTGGAGCCTCACCCGGGAGTTGCTAGTTGAGGGGCAGAACGCTGGTTCCGGTGGGTTGTCGTACAGCTTGTGACATCACAAAATGACAGAAGTATAAAACTTGTCATTAATATACATTAAAATACATTTACTTACAGTAAATATGCTCCTGTGTGCATTTTTTTGGTCCTAGGACAGTTTTTTTTAAGAAGTACATACCCAAAGTTGAGTAAAAAAAAACCTTTAAAAAGTGAATTTTGCATAATAGGTCCCCTTTAAATTCTTACATGTCTACATGTGTTCATATGCAATAAATTATCACAAAGAGATATATGCACTCATTGTTATAACTTAACTAAAGTCAGAGTTACTTCTTGCATATTGTAAAGTATTAATGGCCTTGAAATACTAGCCCCTCACAGGTACAAGACACCCAACAGCAACCAGTCTGACTGGACACATCCGCTCCAAACGCAACAGCTGTCTGGACCCGTTGGGAAATATGATGTCACTTCACTGGGCCCACATGTTGTGCTGTTGGGGCAAACAGAGGCCAACCCCGCTGCAGCTTTCTGCTCTTCTATCTGAGCCTCAAAGAACACAATAGAGTGACATCAGCCACAGCTGTAGCCAAAGTTCAACAAAGCTGTGCAGGGAAAAATACACGACAGCAGAAAACAATTTTCTAACTAAAATAAAAATAATAAAATAATCATAATAATACATTTTAAAAAGTCCGAGTTTGAGTAACAGCACTTTCTAGGGAAAGTGTGACGCAACACAGAAGTGCTGATTTGGAATGTTTCTCATTATTAGTGAAAATAATGAAAAGGGTTAATTTCACACTCATGAGAGAAAAACAATGCATGAAGTTTTTCAAAGTCGCAAAAATAAAGAAAGAAAGTTCAGTGGAATATGTACGTAATATGAACAAGAATTTCTGGATTGTGCATGGAATCGAAGTTTCAATAGCTCTGGGGCGAGTCACCATCAGGAAGCACCAGCCTTAGATTTAGCTCTGTGTCCATATACAGACAGACAATGATGACTCATGCGCAGATAATCTTCCACACCACCCTATCAGTGCTGTTAGAGAGAACCCAACATCCAAACATGCTTCAGCAATCTCAAGGCTCGCTGTGATCAGAGGAAAGGAGAAACAGAAAAAAAAAGAGAGAAGACATCTCAAACTTGCTTTATTAGCAGCAGAACCTGTGTAGCAGCTACAGAAGCAGCCAGAGAACTGTCAACAAAAAGGGGGGGAGACTGCACTCAGTGTTGGAGCTGCATGTCAGAACATGCCTCGGTAGGCCAAAGGCTGTGATTGCCTGAGCAGCAGCAACCAGCCAATCTACTCAGCCCTCTGAACACAGCGTGTCCCCCCGACCATGGTAACGCTAGTATGATTGTGTAACAGCACAAGCGGTGAACTTGAAATGTAAATTGACATCATCATAGTCATGCTGTGTATGACGCAGAGGAAGACATTTGATTTTTTTTCTTCTTCTTCTAAGCTTTCTCTCTCTCTCTTCTTTGTGGCAGTCTACTAAAGTAATTATACATCACAAAAAAAAAAAAAAAAAAAAAAAACAGTGACGAGCCCTTAAATCATCGCCACCTGCTTGGATAAGATTAAGAAACGTGGAAAAAGGTGTAACTTTTAGAAAAAGTATGTGTCAAGCCAACAAAAAGTAGCTAAAAACACATGTAGATAAACAGAATTAAAACTTACCGGTGCGATTTGAACGCGTTGGTTGATAATTACAGTTTAGCAAGTCTTATTGTTGTGAAAATGCTGTAAGCTAACAGGGCTAAAAGCGTGCTTTAGCTAAACTAGCGACGTAAAACAATACTCAACAGCGTAATAAATGAAACAGATAAGTACCGCTCAAATATCAGGTTGGTTGGAGACTTWGTGAACTAATAAAAAGTAGGAAAGTTGGCTAGCTTCGTAAGTTTCCACCTGGCAAGGTTACATTTCTTACACTAAGCTAGTTAATGTTCATTCGTACTGCACGGTGGGTAAAACATGCAGAACTGCTTTAAAAACAATGTAAAAAAAAAAACACACTTACCTCCTTTAGAAAGAGACATTTCCCCTTTGCTTTGATGAGGGGGAAGGGAAACACAAAGACTTTTGCCTTTTTTTTTTTACTCCCTCCCTCCCTGCATCTAGTCTTACACCCGCTCAGGATCGCTGGTTTTGCAGCGCAAGATCTAACAGCGATAAAAGAAAAAAAAGAAATGGAGGGGGAAATATCTAGTCGGTTCGTCCTCGTGCAAGCKTAGCGCAACAATAACCAGTCCGCGCGCTCAAAGATCGACTCGCAAAACAATGCACAACTTTAAAACAATCCGAATAGTTCGCGTTAAGTTTGCTAACAAAACCTTCACTTGGGTGGCCAAAGTCTGACAGCTGAAAGCTCCAACCGCTTCGACGACGTGATGACGTATTTCCGGTCTTGCGGTGAGCCTCGTGGGACGTGTAGTTTCCATTGGACTGGATACGTTCTTCTCCTTTGACAAAAATACTTTTAGTATGTTTATATTTAACAGGTAATTCGACGACAGTACAGTATTTTTTTAAGTTTATATTTATTTTCACTTCATTTCACATGAACATTTTAATAGATGCATAAAATCCTTGAGCTGAGAGGAACTAAAACTAAACAATGTGACAACAAAAGCAAAAATGAATGTACAGGCATTAGAAAAGAAAATGGATTTGCAGTTTATTTAACCCATTCTGTTACACAAGATTCAAGCATTGTAAAGGTTCTGTCATGAGCTACAAACTATCATAATCTATATTTGACTGTGGAAAAAGGCATAAAAATAATAGTGACTGTTAAATCTTTATAGCACCTATTCAAAAAATATAAACCCTTACATAATTAATACATTTAAGGGGGAAAAACTATTACACAATTCAACAAAAGCTGTCAAGTAATGTTTTCCCTTTCTTTTTCCAGAACACATGAAATATTGAACATAACCTACCACCATGAAAATCACTGTTGAGCTGTTAAATTCAAAGTATTTTTTAATAAAATCACCCTTACTGTTGGAAGACAAAAAAAAAGCACAAAATCATGACCATATCACATACCTGATGCAATCATGTGTTGTGATATGAGTGTGCTTTGCATTATGTACACGTGATCATGTGGGTGGATGACTAATGGTGAGGTCATGTCAAATTCCTGCTTCTACTTCCTGGCAACTAGAAGAGTGTGGTAGAGAGGTTTGATCACAATGTGCAGGTAGAGGGAGCTGTCGATTAGGTACTCAGACGCACGCCGCTGCAGGTCAGCATCCACCAGGAAATCCCCAGCCTCCTCTGTGCTTTGATGGAAGTTGTAGACGTGGCGGACGACCACTTTTCCTTGCTGTTTCGCCATCACAATAACAGTTTTCTGGAAACTCACGCCGGCAAAGTCCGGGCTGGAAGTGGCGGGCGTTACGATGATGCGAGGTCGACCTGCCTCGGTGCGGGTGGGCTGCATGGCKCCAAGTTCGGTGTACGTTGACCTGGCGCTGAGCGGGAGCCAGCGAGGAGAGAACAGAGCGTTCCATGTCACTCTCTTACTGGAGTCRTGGCCGCTGGGACCAAGCTGGGTCTGGAAGCTGAAGCTGCGGTCATCGCGGGTGGGGTTATTGATGATCCACGGCGAACCCCAGGAGGAGGACAAATAGTTACGGGGCGTGAATATGCTGCAGTTGACATCAAAGTACTTGGCCAGTTGAATGGGTGAGGCYGAGTGGAACTGGAAAGCTAGATATAGGAGATCACGAATGGACTCGTAGTGCTTCACCATGAGGAGGGACTGCTTCTGAAGACGGAAGAGATGCTGAGGAGGGATCATGCCATATCGAACAGCCTTTAGCGCACTTTCCACAGTTGTAGTCACTGGCTGGTTATGATTAATCCAGCTCTCCAGGGCCTCGTAGAGCTCCAGCTCGCTCTGCAGAATCAGGTCAGAGCGCTGGAGCAAGGACAGGAGCAGGTCTTCGCTGATGGAGCCCCATTCTCCACTCTGCAGCACAGAGGAAAGATTCCAGGACAGGTACTGCAGACAACTGTCCCGCAGGGTTGCGTCCCCAATTTGCTGTGCATAGTTGTACCAGCTCACCACGTGGCCCGCGGGTGAGTCGCTGGAAAGGTGTTGAGCCATATACTGGGACAGACCTTGCTGCAAGGCCCACACGTGGTACCTGCTGGCCAGCTTGTGCAGAGATATGACCTGATCAAGCCGTACTGAGATATCACCACAGTACAAATACCTGGAAGACACACATTCAAAAAGCATTGTTAAAAAAAAAAATYGGTGAAGCTTTTTTACTCTTCACATCTGAGTCACTGAATAAAACCCACACTTTCTGGTTTTAGACTGTGAGCCTAAAGAGCAAGTTTAATTTTAGAATAYTGCACAAGATGGAACATTACACTCCTCTAGAAAGCAAAACCCCAAAATGGTAATAATGACCTGTTGTACACTGCTGGAACAGTTCTGCAGTTTGTTGGACTCCGTTTTGTTTTCTTTCATAAATCAGCACTCAACAAACAGTTTTAAACATTTCTCACCTAATAAACTTGTCAAAGGCGGCAGCGCAATCAGGCGTCTCCGTCAAAACCAGAGCGCTGTTGTTGCGACTGAGCAGCAGTTCCTCAAACACATCGCTCTGCAGGCTGAGAACCAGGCTGTGGGCTTGAATCACCTTCACCTCATCTGTGTTGATGGTATGCACCCGCAAACTGACATCACTACTGTTGCCCATGGCCAGGAGGTTCTCCATACGATGCACCAAACTCATGGAGTGATTCAGGACCGTGGCACCACTATCCAGTGCCTCCTGCTTCAGTGGAGCTGTGTAAAAAAATAAAAGGAGAAATCTTGTCAGAAGCACAAACATCAGGAAAGTGGCTTAAAACTTGTTTAATTGCTCTCTAAATCCGGAGAGCAACTCATTTTGTGTCCCCGTTTTCATAACTGCTTCTCTGCATTGGGAGATTGCCTGAAATATGAATCATATGTGACACAGTTCGGATCTGTAAAAGGTTTAGCTAAGCCACAACTGATAGCATGTGTCAGGGAGAAATATCAGACTTGCACATCCTGTCCTGCTTCTGCTCTGAATTAATTGAAAAAGAGAGCAACAACCAGGTGGCTGACTCAGAAAACCCCAGATGCCAGGTGCACAGAAAAAAAAAAAAAAAAAAAAAAAGAAATCCCGAGTTTGCAGCACTGCTGCAGATGGCTTTTTCTATGGCTCCTCTTGAACATAAGTACAAGTGGCGCATGGAGAATCCCACATAAAAGACCCGAGCACGACAAGTTGCTGTTTCCATTCTGCTCTGCATCAGTCATCAGCAGCCTTGTTGGCCTGAAACTGGGGTTTTAATGAGATGCTGGGGGGGGGGGGGACATTTGGCTCTCTGGGTTGTTTCATGGTTTTCATTTCTTTACAACAATCAAGAACTCCCTCTTCAAAGTCAGCTTTTTCCAATTAGCCAGCCTGGACACAATATGCTCAAATGAGATGTCACTAAACTAATTTAGGACGATACTCCACTGAATATAATGTACAGGACAGAGAATATCCATTACATAATTAGCTATTTTTATATTCTGAAAGAATAATAAAAATTATTCGTTTCAAACTAGTGAACATCCTCTACACACAAACTTATAAAATAAAAAAATTTATATATGTTTCAATGGGTCTTCCAYTTTAAGCTGAAAATACATGAAGACGTTAAATAAAACATTTAGACAATTTATTGAATCTAACGAGCCTGTACTCACTAAAAACTAAACTGACAGCAGTGTAACGATAGCTTTTGTCAAAATCAGTTCTTTTTAAAAGCAAGKCAAGCTTTCCCTCTGCTGGTTTCCAGCTCTGAGTGGATGAGACGGTACAAAAAGCCAAATGACAAATGAACTTGTCTTTTCTCTGAACCCAGACAAACAGATGAGGACAGGAAGAGACAAGCAAATAAATATCCATCTTTTGCTTTGAGGCTCGGCACAAGCCCCAGCACGGGGGGAAGCTGGACTGAAATAAAACAATATAGAGTAGGATTTAAATCAATGAAATATTTCAAAGTGAACAACGTCTTTTTTAGTGGTAAAGCACAGAATTCGTTTGCGTTCTTACCTCCGCTGACTGTGACAGAGTGGAAGTAGATAAAGAAGAGCAGGGTGCCCACATAGACCCAGCCAGGAATCTCTTGTTCACATGAGCGGACCATGTTTTCTCAATTATTATTATTTTTTTATTTTTTTCACTGCTTCTCTTTCTGTTTGTCCTTTTGCCTCTCCTCTCCTCTCTGTGCCACTCTCCTAATCGAACGCGTGCAGACGGGTGCGCTGCCTTGTGTGATGCCCGGCTCCCTGTCCTGGACTCTTTATGTAGGACGCTGGCCTTTCCCTGGCGCATCTCACAACCCCGCGGTCTCCATCGATTGGTGGAATCAGGCAGGGGCGTTGCTATAGCGACAGCTTTGATTTTGAATTTCTCCCTCTTGGTTGTAACATGGCATTGATCGGCGGCACCGGGCCAGCTAAGGACTCAGATTAATGCCTTTTTTTTTTTGTTTAAAAAGTCAGTGGGGTTTGGTGCTATTAGGAATCAATAACAAATGCAGTTTCCGATTTTAAAGGCACTTTAAATGCCAGATTGCTGCGCTGGAGAACTTTGACCATGACGGTCATGTTGAGTACAATCTGTGCCTTAATTAATCTTCTAATTACAGCTGCAGCTTAGATTATCTGTACAAAGTAATCAGGGTTCCAAGGAATGTGACCAACTGCAGTCAGTTACATTTCACAACTCATTAGAAGGTCAACATCTTCTACTATTTGTCAAAAGGCTCATTAATCTCACTAATGAGAGGATAATTCAGTTTCAACTGGACCTGCTCATCAGGTGAAGCAAGCTTTGTCATACCCAAGAGGCAGTCTAAATTTGATGGCCTTTTACTGTTGCTAAAATACAAAACAAGCTTTTAACAGCTTTCCTACAGCGCAATACTACACACATGAATTTCACTGTATTTTCATGTGCATTACATCACAAAACTTTTAGGACGGGAAGCGCAAAATGAATACAGATTGTGCTTCAGTTTTAAAGTTTTATTGTTTATTGCTTGCAGAGAAAGAAACCTCCAAGCTCTAGTAATCAATACTATCCCACCATGGCTCCAAGTGAGCTCTACAGCCACACATCAAAGAAGAATTATACAGCCCAACATTTGGTTTGTTCCAACCAAATTATGTTTCAGAGTGGGAAAAAATGGCCTTTGGCCTCAAGATTCATAAAAATAAAAAATAATCTTTTGGAAAAGATGAGCAGCAATATGATAAATGTGTTTAAAAAACCATAGATCAATCTAATGTGAGAAAGAAGAGGTATTATTTCAGAGAGATTTGGGTTGTGCTGACGCACCGTGGTCTGCCGGGCTGCTTTTTTAATGCGTTTGAACACGACGTAACCTTTAATAAGGTCACACGCCTTTCTTTTGTTTTGTTTACTTTTTGCTATCACTCAATCTGGACTATAATACGAGATGATTGATTGATAAGCTGTTTTACTTTTAAGAGCACCCCTCGGGACAAGATCCATTGAAAGATCAATAAACCACACGGGTCCATTGTGTAGTTTAAACAACATGTAGAGTAAGTGCAGCCTGAAAGCCAGAGATGACCTTAGTTTCGTGCTGAGGCCTGAGGGAATGCACTCGTTGACCAGATCGCCAAAGAATTTATTGCTTTAAACTCAACATGTTAAATGCAGTGCTGACAATTTCACATTAAAAAAGGAGAAACACTATTATGTCTTATATGAAATTAGTTTTAGGCAACGCATTACTGAAGTGAGCAAACAGTTTGTTAGTTTGAATCTCTTCAAAATAGTCTTAAAAACACAGTTCCTTCTGGTTTATACAGATTTTTTACAATCACATCAGTGAAAGAGGTTTTGATGACACTGAGGCAAAATATTTTAAAACAGGTGTTTTAAAATATTTTGTGAAACATTAAAAATGAAGTTAGCAAAAAACTGAGGGCATTAAATGTATTTAAAAATAATAAACATCATCTGACAAGGTATTAATTTTTTTTGAACAGCTTCCCAACTATACATATTTCCCCAGTATCTCCTAAGTACGACGGAGTATTAGAGCCGCACAAGAGGTTTTTTTTTTAATTTACGAGAATAAAGTCATAATATTATGACATTAAAGTCGTAATATTATGAGATTAAAGTCATAATATTACAAGATCAAAGTAATAATATTATGAGAATAAAGTCGTAATATTACAAGTTTAAAGTCATAATATTACAAGTTTAAAGTTGTAATATTATGAGAAAAAAAGTCATTACATTGTAGCCTTTATACGAAAAAGCATGCAGTCACTGCAATAAAATGAGGAATGTTGAGCAACTTGTCAAGTTGTTTAGTATTGCTATAAATAATCTTTTAGCACATTAGCATCAAATTATCAGTAGCAGGACTTGGAAATTGCGCAAAACGACTATAAACTGAAGCCATATTGTAATTAATGGATGCATTGACGGATTTAGTCATCACATAGTTAATTTGGATGACAGCATATTAA